TTAAATAAAATAAATAAATAAAAATACATGCACAGCTTCATGCCGTGTAGATGATTTTGCCTTTTCAATCCAACATTATGTTTCTGAGCTCTATCCAGGCTGATTTATATTCCTTTAGCTCACTGCTGCTGGTTTTGCAGAGTCTCCCATTGCACAACACCGCTAGTTATTTATTCTTCTCCCCCTGCTGATGGACATTCACAGCAGGGCCAATTTTTTTGTGGTTACAAATGGTGCTTCAATGAATGTCCTTGGACATATCTCCAGGTGCACATGTGTGAGCTTCTCTAGGGTATATTCCGAGAAATGGATTTGCTGAATGGGGGTGTGTATGCTCATTCACAACTTTACCAAGTGCCAAATTGCTCTCCAAAGTGATTTGTATCAACAATACTTCTCAAAATTCCTATTTTTTCCCTTTCCCACCCACTGTCTCCACATATTATAACTGCCCCACATTTTTCTCCTAAAACCACTCCTGGAATCTCAAGTCTCTCCCAGAAAACTCTCCTCCAGCCCTTACCCCCACTCTAGCTCTTACTGGTCTGGCAAAGCCCCAGTGAGGGCAGGGAAGAAACTGCATCAGGTGGAGCAGAGGCCTCTGCGTCATGGGAGTGTGGGGGGAGATGGGAGAATTTCTGGAACCAGCATATGTTAATCATTTGTGTTGAGTCAGACAGACAATGCCAGGTGATAGATATAACCGTCAGGTGTTCCCAAGGCACAGCAGGGTTGCAAAAGCTGAATATCTACTTCTTCCTAATGGGTCAGGGGAGGGCCCTTGGACAATCTTCCAAAACAGTTTTAGGATAAAGGGCAGTCAAATGTGTAAAATTCCACCCTGTGGCTGGGCAGTGGGTCTTCAGGGGCCCACTACCCAGCTTCCAGGGGAGGCTGAGAACTGCTATGACACCCTCCTCATATACATGGGCAACAGAGAGTTAGGAAATCTTGCCTAAAAGTACCACCACTTTTATCAGTAATTCAATTTCCTCTTGTGTAATCTTCAAGTCTCAACAATTCAAATCCTTTTTCTTTTTTAATCCTCACCTGAGAATATTTTTTCCATTGATTTTTTTTAGAGAGAGTGGAGGGGAGGGAGGAGGAGGAGAGAGAGACACACACACATCAATTGGCCTGCAACCGAGGTACTAGGAATTGAACCCAAGACCCTTTAGTCCACGGGCTGATGCCAAACCGGCCAGGACAACAATTCAGATCCTTTAAAAACCATCTAGTCAACACTTCTGGTCAAGACGGCAGCCTAGGTAAATGAAAATCCCATCCTCCCACAAGCACATCAAAGTTACAGCTACACTACAGAGCAAGTGCCGTTCAGAGCTGCCTGAAACCTAGCTGCTGACATCCTACAACTAGGGCTGGAAGAAGCAGCCACGTGGAGACTGCTTCACGGGGAGCCGTCCAGCTCCAGCGTGGTAATTGCTGATATAAAGACGGTATTTGATTTCATTCCAGTGGGACAGTGACAATGCCTGAACTATCTAGCCACACGAGCAGAACAGAAGTGCGAAACAACGTCTTGATTTATGTGGAACAGGCTACCGATCAGACGCTGAGCCTTCCCCTCATCATGCTAGGAGACACCCCTGAAACCTGCTAGCGTGGAAGTACATGGTCACTATGAAACAGATGAAGCAGCTTTTGCTGAGTACAGTGCCCTTTGCAACACTGACACAGGGCAAGGAAGTGTTTGAGGCCCGTATCTATAAACAGGGCTTTGCTGGAATCCCCAGAACCAAGGCTCTCTAAAAGGATTGCTTTATCTCTGCAGTATAGATGCCAAACAGACTTACTAAATAAATATATCTTTCTAGCTTTGGCCAGGTGGCTCAGTCGGTTGGAGTGTCATCCCATACTCTAACAGGCTGCAGGTTCCATCGCCAGTGAGGGAGCATACAGGAGGCAGCCCATTGATGTTTCTCTCTCTCTCTCTCTCTCTCTCTCTTTTTTTAAATCCTCATTTGAGGATATTTTTTCCATTGCTTTTCAGACAGTGGAAGGGAAAGAGAGAGAGAAAGAGAGAAACACTGATATGGGAGAGACACATCGATAGGTTGCCTCCCTCACCCACCCCAACAGGGGCCCAGGATGGAGCCTGCAACAGAGGTATGTGCCCTTGGCTGGAATCGAACCTGGGACCCTTCAGTACTCCAGCAGATGCTCTAACCACTGAGAAAAACTGGCCAGGGTTCTCTCTCTCTCTCCCTCTCTCTCTAAAATCAATAATAATAATAATAATAATAATAATAATAAACATATCCTTGGGTGAGGATTAAAAAAACAAAAAAACAAAAACATATATTTATTTTAAAAAGAGCATCTTAAAAAAGAATCATATAGTCTTGAAACCTATATAATTTTATTAACCAACATCACCCCAATAAATTCAATAAATTAAAAAATATAGTCAATTTAATTTTTTGAGTAATTAGAATGGCAACACCAACTTTTTTTGTTTTCTAAAGCGTGAAGAACAATGCACCTGAAAAAGCATGATGTCAATACTTCAATTCCCTTTCAAAAAGGAGAAAGGATCAGTGTTGCAAAGCTCTCTTTATAATCATGACATCAATAATCTAGTTCTCATTTAAAAATCATTAAAGTGTCAATTATTCATTTTTTAATCTTAAAAGAGGCAACAATTCCATTCTTTCCCCCTTTTCAGGACATTAATATTGGCTACATTTTAGAAAATTTTCATTTTGGGAAAAATTTTAAAAAATCCCTCACATTCCCACCTCTCTTACACAGCCGATACGATCATTTTGATATGCCTCCTTCCACTTCTTTTTCTTTGCATTTAGAGCCTGGCCGGGCATGGCTCAGCGGTTGAGCATCGACCTAGGATCCAGGTGATCGGGGTTTGATTCCCGGTCAGGGCACATGCCTGGGTTGCAGGCTGCAGCTGATCAATGACTGACTCATCATTGATGTTTCTATCTCTCTCTCCCTCTCCTTTCCTCTCTCTGAAATCAATAAAGATATATTAAAAAAAAAAGTTAAAAAAAAGAAAAAGAAAACCTATCAACAGTTAGATTTAATGGACATGGACAGAGCACCTGTTGGCATTCCCTGCCAGGCATAGGCAGAGAAAAAGTGACCCAAACTTGAGCCAGACCCTCACTGAGCCCACAGCCTGGCTGAAAAGCTGGCAGGTACACCCAAGCAGGATTGACTCAGTGTTCCAATGCAGGCCCAGAGTGATATGGGGCCTCGGGAGCCGGTTTCACACTGGGATGGGAATATCAGGGCTCTTGGCCCTCACATCCAGATGATTGAGGTATCAAGGGATTCCTGTCAAATGTGAATCTGTTGAACCTTTTGTCAATACAAAAGACGCAGTGCTGAGAAACTTCTCTGTTTGAAATCATGTCAGTGAGACAGAAACATCCCCCTCTTGTCTAGCGGGTCAGAGCCAGTTTTGACACAGAGAAGCAGCCTGGATTACCAAGCCAGGTGCAGAGCCTCAGATAAGGTGTTTTGGGACACGACAGTCTATATTTATCTTAACTTTGTGGTAGCCAAGAAAACAAGACCATGAGTCCACTTCTCAGCCCAAGCCAGATGTTAACCCCCTTCCACACAGCCAGATTTGCTTTGAGCCTATCAACACTGCTTCATTTCAGTTTCACCTAAATTCCATTTTCCTTCCAAATCCTATAACTCTGTTTCTTCCTTTATTTAGTGAGACCCCATAGTTCCCCTGGGTGCTTGCTGAATCAAGTTAATAAACCCAACTTTGTTAAACTACACCTATGTCCCTGGTGGTCTTTATCAGATTGATTTTATCATAAAATTCAAGCCTTTTCTCTGTTCATTCATTCACTCATTTATTTACTCAACAATTGTCTGCGGGGCTATGCTCAGTTTTAGGTGCTGAAGACGTGGTGACAGGATGACAATTGGAAGTCTTTAATCTAGTCCAGTCCTGTCATTTTACTGATAGGGAAACCAAGGCTGGGAGGAAGTGGAAATTGTGCTTAGGAGTGAGTGGGAAAAGGGCCCACAGTGCTAGGGGAGGTAGGGGTGGGACCACAGCAAGGAGCCCTAGTTCGCCAACTACCAGCTGGAGTACCTGGCCATCTAGGAGTTTACTGACCAGCAGTGGCAGTCTAGACCAAAGGCACATCTTTCCTTCCCCAGGGACATTGGCTTTTGGGGGCTTTGAGGTGACCCTCTTAATTCCTTTGCCTGTCCCATTTGGAGAGTCCAGTAAAAGGAGAGTGGGATGAGCCACCTGAGTGCCTCTTCCTAACAATCAAGTCCCTTCTGTTTCAGGGTTAAGAGCCAGGTGGCAGGGCTGCCTTGCTAAGCATCTCTGCACTGCTTCCTGTAGGCTGTGCTATTATTTAACCTGTGTGTGCAGACTCAAACCCAAACTCAGTGTGACTTTAAAATTTCAGTTCTTAACCATCAGCAATTGGGAAGTCTTGGGAAGAGACACACAGGACTAAGAGCACCCTGTTAAATACGCACGGCATATGCCCACTTCTGTCGGGGTAGACTGAGGCAGGGGCCCTTAATAGACTGTGCCCACTTCCTCATGTGAAGTGATTCAACGGGGCGCCACACAGGTCCACTGTCTCCAAACAGCAGCCACCCAGCCTTCTCTTGCGGTTTCTTCCCTCTGGGCGGTGCAAAGACCCAAGGATGTAACTTCTGGGTGGACCGCTGACTCAGCTGCGGGAGGGCTCCTAGAGTGTCTCAAACCCTCGCTTCATCCTTTTTGCATTCTGCAGTTGGGCAAACTGCGGCTCAGAAAGACAAAGAACTTCCCCGAAGCGGAAAAGCTGCCTAGGCTTGTACCTAGGATGTACCCAGCGCTCCGCACGGTAGACAAGCTGAGGACTAAGGCCCGAGGATGACCTAAGCCCATCACGGGTTAAAACCATGAAGTTGCGTAGCACCCCCAAGGCCTAGAGAAACCCGGCCCCTCTAACTTAGACCCCTTTCCACTTCCAATTTCCGGAAGGGCTCGACTTCCGGTTCCGGGAATGGGGTACAAAGCTTTGCGCCGGGGAGGTGGTCTCCCTTTCCCGAGAGCTGGCTCCGCTGCCTTGCCCCACTCGTGAAGTGGGGGATGCTCAGGTGAACGCTCCCTCCGCGTGCTTCCCTCGGCGTCCGTCCCTCGCGCAGTCTGTTGGGAGCTGGGGACCCGGGCGTCAGCCGGCCTTAGGAGCCTGGAGGCCCCGCTCTTGGGGGTCAGCCGGCTGCTCCGCCCGGCCTGACGTCGGGCGTCGCCTCAGCTGAGGAGTAGGTCCCGGTGAAAATCCCCAGAGGCGCGTTTTCCCGCCCCGCCTGGGACCTGTGAGCCGCGCCCGTATTGGCGGGAGGAGTCGGGCTCAGCTCCCCGCCTAGGCGCCGGGGATTTTTCCTCGGCTGAGTGGTCTCATCACGTCCTAGCCTTGTGACCTTTCGCACGTCCTCTCTCCCCGAGCCTGTTTGCTTATCTGTGTCTGGAAATGACAGTAACTGTCCCACTGGGTCATCGGGAGGATTGGATGGAGGAAAGCTGCCGCGAAATGTCTGGCTTGTGAAATTCAACAAATAGTGGCTGCTGCTAATAGAAACAACCGGGGCGGTAGAGTCGTATCAAGTGTTTAACCTGAGTGGCTGAGGAAGCACGTAGAAGATAATGTAAAGTGCTCAGCACAGTGTCAGATAGGAAATAGTGTTGAGTAAACTGTAGTAAGTGGTGAGAGCAAGCACTGTCAGGTGGTCGTCTAAAACGGGTATGATTTGCCCTGGAGCGTCGGCCCGCGCACCGAAGGGTCGCCTTTCGATTCCGGTCAACGGCTGTACCTGGGTTGCTGGCTCGACCTGGGAGCGTGCGGGAGCCAGCCAATCCATTTTTTTTCCTCTCTCCCCCTATTTCCCTCCCTCCCTCCTTTCCACTCTCTAAAAATCAATAGTAAAAACGTCCTTGGGTGAGGAGTAACAAGAAAAAAAAATTAAAACTGGTAGGATTTGCCCTGGCCGATGTGGCTCTGTTGAGCGTGTCCCTTGCACTGATATTTCCGGTAGGGGTCGTGCAGGAGGCAGCCGATCCCCAGTAGGGGGCGTGCAGGGGCAGGCGATGAAAAACGGTCCATGTCGCTCCCGCTCTCTCCAATTTTTTAGAAAAATTGAAAAAATAAAACTGATAGGATTTACAAGTGGGGTCCATCTTTCAGAGCCAACCTTGAGAACTGACCTACTGACAAATGAGACTATTCCTAGAGGCCAGGGTTGTAAAATTCTGTGGTGCTAGAAACTAGAATTACTAAAAGGGTGTTTTCCTAAGTGGGTTAGGGATTTTTCACTCAAAGGTTTTCTCCTTGAGTTGTGAAAGTGATACCTAGTTGTGGTTAAAAAGAAAACAGTACAGCCCTAGCCAGTGTGTTCAGTTGGTTGGATCATGGTCCTGTACCAACTGAAAGGTTGTGGGTTTGATATGGAGTCAGGGCATGGAGGGAAGGCAACCAGTGTGCTCTCTCACATCAGTGTTTCTCCCTCCCCCTTCTCTAAGATCAATAAGCGTATCCTTGGGTGAGGATTAAAGAAATAAAAAGAACAATACAGAAAGAGAAGGTTTCCTCAGATGGGATTATACTGTGGGAATTGAACTGCACCTTGGTGATGTAATGACTTATGGAATTCTTCACATATCAGCACCCTTAGGACTACTTCATTCTTTTTTTAAAATTGATTTTAGAGAGGAAGGGAGAAAGACATAATGTATTGTTCTGCTAACTTATACATTCATTATGTGCCCTGACAGGAGGTGGAACCCACAACTATGGTGTATCATGATGATGCTCTAACCAGCTGAACTCTACCCAGCTAGGGCCAAGCTTCATTCTTTTTTTTTCTTTGCCTTAGCTCTACCTTAGCTCTTTTTTTTTTTTTAATCTTTATTCATTTCAGAGAGAAGAAAGGAGAGGGAGAGAGAAACACCAATGATGAGAGAGTCATTGGAGATCGAGCCCTCAACCCGGGCATGTGCCCTGACCAGGAATTGAACCTCGATCTCCTGGATCCTAGGTCAACGCTCAAGCGCTGAGCCATGCCCGAGCCACGCCCGCTGGGGCTCTACCTTAGCTCTTAGAGTAACACTTGCTATTATTTCATGAGATAGATGGGGGAAGGTAGAAAAGACAGTGGAGTAGATGTAAACGAACTGATCTTTTTCTCTGTATCTTAGCACCGCTTCGCAGTTTGCTTTTGGACATCACAGATGCTATGTAAAAATGCTTGGAGGTAGCAAATACCCATGGTTTTAAAGATTTTTTCCCTCCTACAAAACATGTGCATATATACTTTTTTGTTTTAGCATAATATAAGGTACTGTGAAATGGGCGGAGGGCAGGGGGAATGGATGAAAGGTTCTCCAGCTAACAAGGCCAGTGTTCTTCATTCTTTCTGCTTTGAGCATTTACATTTTTCATTGTGGTAACCATTGACACATTTCCTCAATTATGTCAATTGATCCAGCAAGAGGGAATAAAAATAGAATTTCTAGTAGCTTTATTAAGAAAACCTATTACAACAGAAACAGACTCATAGATACAGAGAACAAACTGATGGTTACTAGAGGGGAGGGGGGTTAGAAGGATGGGTGCAAAAGGTGAAGGAATTAAGAAATACAAATTGGTAGTTATGAAATAGTTATGGGGATGTAAAGTGCAACATGGGGAATATAGTCAATAATACTGTAATAGCTATATATGGTGCCAGGTAGGTACTTGAATTATTGGGGGGATCACTTTGTAAATTATATAGTTGTCTTAACCACTATGCTGTACACCTGAAACAATACTGAATGTCAACTGTAATTGAAAAGTAAAATTAAAAAACAAATCTGTATGCATTTCTGAAAAGAAAAAAGGAAACCTGTTAAGATTGGAAAGCTGATGGAACCTGGGTCTGAACCAGATCCAGGAGATCAGGGTAGTTTTAATAGCCTTTGTGGTCTATTTTCACTGATCCTAACTTTTCTCTTTGTGTCTAGGAGCCTGAGTAATCCTTTTCCATAGTTCCAGAATGGAGACTGAAGGAGACCCAGAGACACAAAGAGATAGAGAAGTCCAGAATGATCAAGTAATGTCACCACCAAAAGAGATGATGGCTAAGGAGCCAGCAAACGTCCTAATAGTGGTTCCCCAGGCCCAGGTTCCACAAGAGCCTTCTGTGCATTCACCGAAGAGCCTTGAAGATGTTGAGACTGGGCCAGGAAGGAATCCTCTCAACCCTGTAGTCTGCAGGCAGATGTTCAGAAATTTCCACTTTAAGGATGCATCTGGGCCCAGGGATGTCTTCAGGAACCTTTTGGAGCTTCTTAGGCAGTGGCTGAGACCTGATATTCACACAAAGGAGCAGATGATAGAAATGCTGGTGCACGAGCAATTCCAGGTCGTCATGCATGAGATGCTCAGAGCTCAGGAGCAGAAATGTCCGTCCGTGGTCAGATTCACTGGCTAAGTCTCACTGCTCATTTCTTGCTCAACCTACATGAGACATTTAGTTAAAGGTTCTCTTTGTTGCAGGTTCCTTTGTTGCAAGTTCCATGGGAAATCTGAACCTCGATTATCTTTGTTTGCCTTTGACTAGTTGTAATAAGAATTGATCAGAACCCGTGTTTGGGCCTGTTTTTGCCTGAGGCAGCTCTATTTTCCTGGGACTGTGAACTCCACAAGGAGTTTCTCTGCCCTCTTGTTAGGACAATCAGCCTGCTGTTTATTTTTGCTCTGCTGAATGTCTCCCTTTTTGCACTTTGTGACATCCTTTAATATATTTTTATGTATCCAAAGAGGTAGTTGCTTCAACTTGCAGAATTCTTGCTTGCTGTTGTGGCATGAGTGGGAACTTCTGTAACCCCACCAGTAACTCATTTGGGATGTCCTTGAAATATTAAAGTTTGGTTCTTAATAAAAATGTTCTGTGGTAATTTACCAGTGTAGCTTTTAGTAGTTAGCATTTGAGAAAGACAATGACCGGGAATAGTAGAGCTAGAGATAAGAACTATAACTGTAGCATTTGCTGAGCTGGGAAATAGGAACAGGCCTGGCCTTTGTTTTCAAAGTCAGAATTTAAATTGGACAGAATAGGGTCATAAGAGGTAAGTAACTCTTAGGCAGAACTGTGTGATTTGCTCTTTCTCCATTTCCATTACCTTTGTTCTACAGCTAGTCTTCCTACAGAACTCACTCTAAAGCCATCTCACAGTTCAGTTCTGGTCTTCCTGAAACAGGTCGTTCTGGCTTTCTGTGTATAGAGACCTGTACTTTGGTTGACAGCTGAGACAGAGCGGTAGCTGTGGTGGTGACAGTAAACAGCAGCTGCTTCCCCAGCATGACTCAGTCTGAGGAGCCTTTCTGCTTCTGTGGCCTGGCTCTTGGCTTTATAGATCTGCTCTCGTAACAAACTTGGTGCCGATTCACAACTAATCTTTTGAGTTAGGGGTGATTAGCTCCATGCTGCCAGTGTTTAGTACTTATTGTGCCTTTGGGACCGTTGTAGATGCTAGAATACAAATATAAAATATGGTGAACATAAAGACAAGTGAACTCTGCCTCTTACTAACTAGGTTAAGGTTTTCTAGTCTTAATTCTAGGAGTAAATTTAACTTGGATAAAGAGTTAGTAATGCTCATAGGGTCCTAGTATCTCTAATACTTCAGTTTGTTCAAAACATTGTGAAGGTATCTCCTTTGGTCTGCAGGGATCAGGAACTTCTGGTGTTAATCTCCTTGCCTGCGCCAGTTTCTTAGCTGTTTCAATGATCTCAAATTTTGCGTGCAAGTAAAGGGGTTTTATGGCAAGAAAGCTGAGGTTTCCTGAATTGAGTGAACCTAGCACAGATTTTTTTCAACCTTGGCACTTTGGGGTCAGATAGTTTTTTGTGGGGGATTGTCCTGTGCATTATAGGATCCTTAGCAGCATCCCTAGTCTATAACCACTAGATGCTAGTAGCAGCTCCCCTAGGTGAGATAACCAAAAATGTCTCCAGCCATTGCTAGATGTCCCCTTAGGGCAAATTTGCCCCTGGTTGAGAACCACTGATGTAATAGAGCTCATCACAGACATGCCTCAGATAAGCAACATGGCCAGTAAGTGGAGGAGCTAGAACCTGAGCCTTGGATTTCTGTCCCCCTAGTCTTGGGCTTTTTTCCGTGTTTAGAAATGTTAATTAACAAGTGTCTCTTGAGAATCTCCTGTGTGCATAATGTTTCTTTTGCTTTATCAAATTGAAAATAACATTTCTTAGATTCATTTGATAAAGAAAAATGAAAAAAACCCACCAAAAATGGTACACAAACTCAATTCCTAGGTAACAGCTATTGACTTTTTGTTGTTGATTCTCACTCGAGGATATTTTTTCCATTGATTTTTAGAGAGAGTAGAAGAGAGGGAAGGGGAGGAGAGAAACATTGATGTAAGAGAGATACATCTATTGGTTGCCTCCTGCAGGTACTCAGACTGGGGCTAGGAATGGAACCTGAGACCCTTCTATCCTCTGTCCTACACTCTAACCACTGAGCCAAACTGGCCGGGCTGCTATTGACATTTTTAAGGTAAAAGATATATTGGCATGTGGATAGAAAAGTCCAACAGTATAGAAAGATATAAAAGGAAAATCTAAGGCTCTCTTCTCATTAACACATACCTTCCAGAAAATATGAATTATACTTATGTAAGCAGATACATACACGTGTCTGTACACATCCCTTTTTTATTTATACAAAATATATATTATACATTTTTAGTATATATATATTTTCCTGCCCAATAAGCCTTAGAGGTCTTTTATTTAAAATTTTTTAGCAGCTTCAGAATAGTTTTTTGTGTGGCTGATACCTAGCCTAACACTTACTAGTAAAAAATGCAAAGTAGAGTAGGTATGGAGTCAACCTCCAAAGCAGAAGTGAGGTTTAGAGAGGTAGGTGACAGAGCCAAGACTCAATCCCCATGTTCTAAAACCAGAACTGGTATAATTCACAATTGCCCAGCACTGTCTCCCAGCAACCTCTGGTACCAGCTCTTGCCCAGGGTTGTGAATTTATAGATGAGATTCCTTGCCCCAAACAACCCAGTAAGAGGAGAAGCTGGAGTTCATCTCTCTTTCATCTGGCTTTAGCCCCATGCCGATGCCACAAGGTTACACTGCCTGGATATCAAAAGAGTAAACCAATTCCATTGTTTTAACGACTCTGTGGGGAATTGGGAGTACAGTAATTCCCTATCTTGCCACTCCCTGAGATTCCTGTGCTTTTTACTCAGTGGGCACTACCCAGGTACCACCGTTGTCTTGTCATTGTCATTTCTTGAATCAATATAGTTCCCAATTCTAAAGCACCCTGAGAACTTTAGTTCTGTGAGTGATGGGGAAGGAAGAAGACAATGGAGGAGCCAGAGGGAAGTATTTCTAAAATGTCTTGGATCTAATTTTCCCTTTGTGATTGTTTTGATTACAAATTCCACAAAAGAGTAATTTCATCTAATTATTGAAAAATGCTCTTGCCAGATGGTGCCGGTGAAAATCAGTGTTGGCACCACAAAGTAATATGAGATTGCTAGCAACTGGCTGGTGCCACGGAAAAATGTCATCTGTTGGGCAGCTACTCCCTGAGTGAGTGGGTGACTGGCCTCGGCTGCTGGAGAGAAGGCCAACTCCAGGAAGGGTGGGGACTCTGAGGGGGCCATGGTGGTGGCAGCTGGAGAATTCAAGTGTAACTGGCCTTCCCAGGAGCATCATGTGTGGTCAGTTTCCACAGGCCACTCAGTACAATGCACTTGGCAATGACAACTATTTTGCTAAGCATTTTCCACCCACTGCCATGCATTTAGTGTACATTTTTCCTTGGCCTGGAATGCCCCTCCCCCAGTCTTTGCCAGCCTGCTGCTATTCATTCTTTTTTTAAAAAACAAAATATGTTTCTATCGATTGTTAGAGAGAGGAAGGGAGAGAGAAACATCATTGATCTGCCTCCTGCACTCCCCCGACGGGATCGAGCCCACAACCTGGGCATGTGCCCTGACCTGGAATCAAACCGCGATCTAGATCCTAGGTCAGTGATCAACCGCTGAGCCACGCCAGGCTGGGATGAAGTTTTTTTTTGATGTCTGCCTTTAATTGGCATCTGAAGCCCTCCAGTGAGCTGTGATAACACATCAGTCCGTGTTTATTCAGCAAATATATATTGTGTACCCAACGTGCCATGCCCTGTTCTAAGTATCACACTGTAGTGCGGCTTCTAGTTTGTGTCCCCAGGTACATTGTGAGCTCCATGAAGATGGAATCTATTCTTGGCCTCCAACATAGGTATTGCACATAGCTGATTCTCAAGGAACAGTTTTTGTGGGAGACACGTGATTGCTCCCTGGTTTAAGATGTTTCCTTCTAGTGAACACAAATAATGTAGAGTTCATGGGGGACCACTAAATGTTACACTGAGAAGAGGGCAGGGAGTGAGATTATTCATTCCTGTGTAAGGGCTGGTGATGGCAGTTAAAGAAAAAAAAAAAGGCCATTTCGCTTAGGCTTTACTCTGGTGACTGGCTTCCCTTTCCATTCTGCACCTGACCTTGCCATGAGGTGAGGTTAACAGCCCTGCACTGGCTCTGCTTGAAAGCTCAAAGGACCCTTGGCACCTAGCAACAACCTGACTGCCCAGGGTGGTGATTTTGAAGCTGGGTGTGTCTCCTGGGCAGGAAGCCACCTACACCGCCAAAGCAGCCAGGGCCTCCCCTTCACTTCCTCTGAGCCCAAGCTCCACCTTTGATTGGAGCCAATACTTAGTGTTTTGGAACCCTGTCTGAGGAGCACAAATGGGATGTTTCTAGTAAAGATTAGTGTTTACTAGGTGTGTGAACTCAGTCAGGTCACCTCTCTGAGCTTCAGTTTCCACACCTGTCCTTTCCTGTCTTATTTCTAGCTAGGATCACCATAGCACAGCATCAGGGACAGGGACATTCAATAAATGCAATTGTACCTAACTCTGATTGGTCAGGGGAAATGGTTCTTTTTCAGCTATCCCTTTGATCTTGTCCTGAGCCCCTCTCTTAAACAGTTCATCTTCTGTTTCCTAATTCCTATACATAAAATCCTGTTCTTACGCCGCTCCTCCCCATCCATCTCCTTGGTGCTTGTCTTGTTCATAGGCATTATACCTTATCAGCGAAAAAATTCTACACTTAAAAATCACAAGTATTCTGGTCTTTAGGCCAATACTGTAGTGACCTTTAATTTTTTAAAATTTAAATTTAACATGCATCCTGTAAAGTGCACAAATCTTAATGGTACGAAGTGGGCATACCCCTATAACCACCTACCAGATGGAGATACAGACTATAATTGTACCTCAGAAGTCTCACATGCTTTCCTACTCATTAATCCCTGAGAGTAACTGCTGGTACGATTTCTATTGCCCTAGAGTAGTGTTGGCTGTTTTTGCACTAAATAGTATATACCCTTTTTGTCTGGCTTCTTGTGTTCAATATTGTGTCAGTGAGCTTCATCTGTCCCTGCTTTTCCATGCCTGTGAACCTGAACATGCCTGTTCTTTCTGCCAGGAAGCTTTCTATTTTTCCAGCATGCCCCACCCTGGCCTGGCCAGTCTGTGCACATCCTCTAGACTCAGATCAAAATTCACTCCTCAATAAATGTGTTGAAGAAATACAATAAATGAAGACATAATCCCTAATCAAGGAATTAAGGTCTCATAGTGGGACAAACAACAAAAATAAGTGCTAGGACAAGAGTTTGTACAAGGATCTAGGGGAGTAATAAAAGTATTCATAATAGTTATGCCTAACATTTATTAAGCACTTCCTGTGTTCCAGGTATTGTTTTAAGTATCTATCACATATTATCTCACTTGAAATTCACAAGAAATCTGGAATATAGAAACTTAGCTTCAGCCAAAATGAGGCATG